AAAAAAAAAAAAAAAAAAAAAAAAAAAATCATTGAACTAGGTTGTAATGAAGAAAACACACAAAAAAATGAAATTCAACCTTACCTTGCGGACGGATAGAATGATGAGCTCCAACAAGGTAAGAACATCTCCTTTTCGTCAATTGCAAGACTAGGGCAAGGTAAGAGAATTTTATATTTAATTGGTATTTGATGTAAATAATTGGATGTGTAGGGGTTTTTATGTATTTTCACAGGCAAAGTTGAGGGCAAAATTGGCATGAAGAGTATGGGATTAAAATATCAGGGCTATAGGGCGGGATTTTTTTATCGCGCAAAAAATGATAACTAGGACAGCCGTACATGCCACATCAACGCCACATCACACCAATCCTGTCCTAATTTTGCAATGTAAACGACTGATAAACTGGATAATTTTCCTTATCCCGTCCTGTCCTTCGAAGTAAACAGGGCCATAAAGTATGTCAGTCTTATCGTTAGGTGAGGTCCGCGTAAAAAAAGATTTCTCGTGTTTATTTATGTAGCCTACCGTATTACAACTATCAAACCCAAGTAATATTCTTTATTTTCAGCTTGATAATTAAGTTGAAGTATAGTGTATTGTTCTTTCCCCTGCCTAAGTATGTAACTTCTCAAAATTTTCCCCCCTCACAAATATTTCATGATATTATATTCAAATTCATCATTTCCTAAATCAATGTTGTTAAGTGTTAATATGCATGATTATGAATCATTTTACTTATAAATTTTTGCATTAAACTTTATATCATATTATTAGTAGTTATAACTTCTTATTCTTAACTATAATAATATGTTTGAAGTGATACATAAATTCTGCAGAAGGGAGAATAAAAAAGATATGTGGAAGCTCAAGATTGCTGAAGGCCATGGCCCTTATTTATACAGCACGAATAATTTCGTGGGTCGACAAATATGGGAGTACGAGCCTAACGAGGGAACTCCAGACGAGCGCGAAGCTTTTCGAAAAGCCCGCGAACAATTTGACGAGAATAGGAAGAAGGGATTTCATTCTTGTGGTGACCTCTTCATGAGAATCCAGGTAAAAAAAAAAAAAATTAAATTTAAAAGTTAAATTTCTTAATATAAATTAAGTTAAATTTCCGAATATATATATATAAATATATATATTCATGTCAGTATAATTAGATATAATTTTTTTTAATAAAAAAATATTGCTTTTTATTTATTTATTTTTTATTCTCAATTTTATTAACCCAATTAAGAAATACTAAATGGATAGTTTTATTATACATTCTTTAGATAAATTCAATATAATTTTTTATCTACATATTTAGTTATTATACATTTTAACAAAGTTCAATTATTTATATATTTTAATTACTAATTATATATATATCAAATTCATTAATCTTAATTATTGTAATTATTATCATATCCATTCATGAATTAAAAAAATTATTCTTTGGCCTTTTTCCTCAATAATAATAATTTGTGAGTTCCAAATTTGTGACTAGAAAATCATTTTCATTTTAAATGCCCTTCCATTTTCAGCTAAAAAAGGAAAGTGGAATTGATCTGCTGGGCACACCGCCAGTTAGAATCGGAGAACACGAAACGGTGACGTATGAAACGGCGACGGCGGCCGTCAAGAAAGCTCTGCGGCTGAACCGCGCCCTCCAAGCGAGCGACGGCCACTGGCCCGCCGAAAATGCGGGCCCCATGTTCTTCACTCCTCCACTGGTAACTGAGTTTTTCTTTTTCAGTTAGAAAAGCTAAATTCTGCTTCTAAATTGATTATTGCTCGCCCATGGCAGCTCTCACACTTCAAATCTCAAATTAATGCTTGAATTATCCCAAAATCATGAGAATGATTCCGTTTTTTTTTTTAAAGATTATTGCTCTGTACATAAGTGGAGCAATCAACACGATTTTGACCTCAGAGCACAAAAAGGAATTGGTCCGCTACATCTACAACCATCAGGTGCATATGCATATGCACGACATGTTTGCAATAATAAGTAAAATAAATTTATTTGTGTGACTGAATTTTGAGTGTGTGTGTGTGTGCAGAATGAGGATGGTGGGTGGGGTTTTTACATAGAGGGACACAGTACAATGATTGGTTCGGCCCTCAGCTACGTTGCCCTGCGGCTGTTAGGAGAGGGGCCGGACGGTGGCAATGGCGCCGTCTCGAGTGCCCGCAAGTGGATCCTCGACCACGGTGGGGCCACCGGGATTCCCTCGTGGGGAAAAACCTATCTCTCGGTATATATGCGACTCTTGTTAGCTTCCTATAGGATGATTTGACGTGTCGAAACTTTACTCGGCTGACATGATTTGTACACTATTGCTTTACTCATGTTCATATGATAAACAAAAAAGTACTTAATGTGGCCTCTTACTTTTAAGAAAATTTGGATATTAGGTTCTGAGTGGTTGTTCTTGTTTCTGAATCTCAAATTATTATTGAAATTGCTTTACTCATGTCCACATTGCTTTCTGAATATCCATAATGCTTCCGAGAAAAAAACTACTTTATTGTTTTAGGCTATGTTTGGTAAATCATCTAGCTTGTAACATTTAAGTCAATTTTGAGCTTATAGCTGATAGCAAATGACTTATGATTGAAAAGCTAGCTTTTAAGATAAACCTGTTTGGTAAAATTAGAAATTAGCTGATAAACTAGCTGAAATAATAATTCCAACGAGTTTATTTGAAAAGCTACCCAATGAAGCTTATGAGATAAGCTCGAGCTTTTTAAAGAAGCTCGTCCTACCTAACGAAACTTATTTGAATACAGGAAGCTTGTAAGCTAACCAAATAAGCTATAAGCTAGCTTATTTGGTTACCAAACATAGCCTTACTCATGTTCATATTGCTTTATGAATGCGGCTTCTTACTTTTAATGTCGAAATTTTCCTTGGCTGGCATGGTTGTTTTTTGTTTCTGAATGTTAGGTTCTTGGAGTGTATGATTGGGATGGGTGCAACCCACTCCCCCCGGAGTTTTGGTTGTTCCCTTCGTTTTTCCCGTATCATCCAGGTGATGATTTGAATTTTATTTAACTTAAAAGGAGTTAGGAATTTAGTAGTTTGATTTGTTGTTCTGTAATCACAGCGCCTGTTTCGTTTTAACATTATTTCAAAACGTAAAATGCAGCAAAAATGTGGTGCTACTGTCGCACGACTTACATGCCTATGTCATA